ATTTCCAGAAACAGAATGAAACATATATATATATTTTCATATCATAATCTTATCAAATCTTATGTTCTTAATCAAAAAATTGAAATTCTATCCTCATTTAAACAAATGTAAAATTTGAAATCTGTCACTTAAGCGAAATATGACGTTTGAAATTATGAAAACATTTAAACAAAACATATAAGTGATATTGATCATTAAAAGGTAAATCAAATTCTGTTTTAATTCTTATTCTCATATTTCGATATTTAATTGGAACTTGCAATTGGCATTGTAGCTTTTCAAAATTTAGTTTTATTTGTTGAAATATATATGTATGCTATATATATATATATATTTAAATATTCATAGAATTTTCTATCTGTATCAAAAAATTTGATCATTAAAATAATTTGCAAATATTTCTTTCTATTTCTTTCAGTTTTTTTTTTGCTAGCTAAATTGTTAACAATTTCATTTAAAATGAATAACAGCAAAACTTTTCTGTCTAATTTAATCTAACTACTTTTCTCATTCACAATTATTCATTTATAGCTTATCCTCTTCATTTTTCTTTTTCTTCCCTTTGCTTCAACTCATTTCCACTTTTCTTTGCATTCATTTCAAAAAAAAAAAGAAAAGAAAAGAAAGAATGCAGAAGTAAATCATTGTAATTGTAAGTATTTCATTTTCTTGATGACACGCATAAAATTAATTGAAATAGATGCCAAAACATGGACCCAATTCAATTACATTTGCGCTTTTTTTCTTCCGTTTTTTTGTTCAGTTTCTGATATTCTTACACGTATATAAACGTGAATTCACACGTCAGTCTATGTATATCAATGTATGATAATATCACATCGTTTTTCATTAAATTTACTCAACAATTTCATTTCATATCATTAGATGAATAAGATTGTATATAAAATTTTTGTAAGTTACAATTTAACCTATTTTTAGGTCACCAAGAAAAAAACGAAGTTATATTTTTGCGGAAAAGTTATGAAATTAAATATTTGCATTAATATGTTAGAATTTTAAAAATCATATATTTATATGTCAACGTGTTCCTTATTTCAGATCATTATTTAAAACATTTCTAATTAGTTATACCAATGGTGTTTTTTTTTCTAATTTTCTCAATTTAACGCATGAGAAAATCATAGACAGAAAAAAGAAAAAACTAAAGAATTCGAGTGATATTTTTGATGTTTTAAATGACATTATTATTTTAAATTTTCTTAAAAAAAGAAGAAAAAGAAAAAAGCAACAACAAAAACAATAATATTGTGCATAAGAGAAAATTAACACTAAACGTGACAAACAAAAGTTGATAGCATGTGTAAAAAATGAAGTAAAATTTAAGTATTACTCGAAATCAAAACAATATAATTGAAAGCTCTCTTTGGTATGTCAACGCGAACAGATTCTTGAAAATGTATAACAAGTGTAGATGATCCTTATATATATATATTTGAAGTGAAATATTTGAAAATTTTTTCTGCTAATCAATCTTTTATTAATTTCAACCAATTACATTATATCAATATTATTCCAAAATAATTTCTTCAATTCTATTATAACATTACTCATCCTTTATTGTATTTCTTATACTATAAAAAAGGAATTTTCTTAAATATCATTATTACTACCACCTATAATTTTGCTCTTATCACAATATTATCAAAATTATGAAACCAATATTTCCCAGTAATATCAACAAAAAAAAAAAAAAAAAAAAAAAAAAAAAAAAAAAACCAAGTTAAAATTCAAAAAAATGTTAATCATAAATAATTGAATCAAATATTTCTTCTTGTCATCTTATACTTACTTTTCTTGTTTTTTTAAAAAAATAGCACTCTTCAAAAGAAAAATGAAATGATTTATTATTTAATACATAAAATAATCAGAAAAAAAAATGTAAAGAAGGCATCGAGAATCCTCCAATGGGAATTTTATCGCGTAAAAATCAATGGAATTTAAGCAAAAAAAAAAGAGTATACACCTACTTACTTGTAAACATATTTTCCATTCTATTCTGACCAATGACATTTCCATTACTATTTGTTTCATTTTCTGACATTTGACAACAACCACTACTCTTCAAATGTTTTTATGAATCAATAAATAGAAATAACAATTGTAGCGATTGAATTGATATAACAAAAAAATTTTTTTCCCATATATAAATTAAATATGCAAATTTGTGCAATTAATAATTACATGCTAAAATATTATTGTTATTAACCCCACTATTGAATTAAAATAAAATTTTAGTTTTAAATTTCACTTTTTTTCATATATAAATTATTTATCAAATTTGCGCAGTTAATAATTACTTACTACATTATTATTATTATAAATTTTATCGTCGAATCAATAATACATGCATTAATAATATATATGAATTATTTTCATATCACAAACAAAAATTTGTTTGTAATATTGATAATGTTTCTTATTTTTCAAGATATTTTATTAATTAATTAGCTATGCTAATATTCATCAAATTTTTATTTCCTTAAAATAAAACAATTTGAAACCATTACATACTTTTATCGTTTATTTTGAATGCTGTAGAAAATATATTTGGATGCTTAAATCAATTATTATTATTATTTTTTTTTGGTTAATTTTGATAATTTCTTTTTCTGTAAAAATTTCATTAATGATTACAACATGTTACAGTATACGTCGTAAGCTGATGTATTAGCTAAAAAGCTGGGAAATATTTGGAGTGAATAAATTTGTTTTACCTTTATTCCACTCTAAAATTTCGGAAACAAAAATCGGAATTGAAAGAAAAGAGACTGAAAAATATTTCTTTAATTGCTAATTTGTATTTCTGTGATAGATTTAATTTACCTTCAAACCAATCAATCGATTAATTAAGTGACAACATTTCATTCCTTTAAACATTCTAGCATAATTTTAACATAATTAGTTACTTGAAAACAAATTAATTGATGGAAATCTATTATAATGAATTACATAAAAATGTTATAAAATATCCAATTTCAAAGAAATTCTATTCTAATCTGAGTGATTGAAATATTTATATGCAAAGCATAATTAAAATGGAAAAAGACAAAAAAAAAAAATAATAATAATTTTGTTAATATATCACTGATATATTAGCAAAATTCATTTATCAATAATTATCATTTATGATAAAAATAAACAACTTATCAAGTTAATTTCGCATCATTGCCACATAATATTATAATTTCATTTCTTTCTAATTATAAAAGATAATTAGCAATAATAAATTCAATAGAGCTTTTAGATATTTTTACTTAAAATTAGCTGAGATAATTTTACATCCTCTCACTACCCGATAATTTTTTTTTTAAATCGTTTATTGTATGCATCTATCATTGTTGTTAATAATATTATTTCGTTCACTATTTCGTTATTCATTTCTTTTCGTTGATAGTTTAAAAAGAAAAAACAAGATAGTAAGAAAATAAATAAATAAGGTGGTTATGTTGTCGAAAGATAAAATATATTTTTCAAATCTTAATAAAATATAAATTTTGATGCTACGTAATTTCTTATGTGGCAAATAAACTTATGATCTTTTCCATTATTATTTTCCCTGTTTTTTTTTTCTTTTTTTGTTTCTTCTGCTAGCAGCACTTTTTAAATCAAATTTCATGAAATCCCGAAAATAGCCTAAGATTTTCATTGGTAATCAATTTGTCATTAAAATACACTCTAAACACTAATCATTCAGACTTCATTTATTATGGCTAAAAGATAAATAATGATAGATATTTATCAATGATAAATGTTTGTTTTATATGATAATAAATAATATTTATATCTTTTTAGGGAGGAAATTTTCATAACAACTACGTCTAATATGCAACAAATTTTTTTTGAAACTTCTGGATTTTTGATAAATATGAAAACATCTCATTCTATGATTTATATGATACATTAAGGCTGAAGCCTTAATGTATCGTAAAATGCTAGCCAAGAAATATGTAAAGCCTTGTATTCATTGTTTTGAATAATTGTTAATCTTTTTTTTCATTTTCTTTCTCTCTTTTTTCTTAATTAAAAAAAAATCCTAACTGAGAAGAAATTAGGAATTATTTGTATAATATTAAATACAAATGAAGATGAATGACAAATTTGTATTTTTTTTTTAAAAAAAAATATTAATTTACTGAGAAGATGAAAATGTAATTAAATAAGAAAAATTAATTAGATGAATTCCGAAAATGAATAAATAATAGGATAGCACAATTCGCTTTTTTTGTTTAATATCATTTATATATTTTTTACATAAAAAAAAAGATAATGAATAGGTATAAAGAATTTTAGCATGAAAAATATGAATACAATGAAACTGGGAAAAATTTTTTTGAAATTTATTTTTCTTGTTATTTAACAACAACAGAAAAGAGTATTGTTTAAAAATTTATTAAAAATTTCTAATTCATTTCACACAAATAAATTATGGAATAAATGGTGAGCAAATTGTATAGTTAATATTTATAAAAAAACATACGAACATATAATTGTATAAAAACATGTCACCAATTGAATATTGTTTGCTAATTATGATTTAAAATTATTTTATAACTTCATCAAAAGTTATAATTTTTCATAAAGGAAAAGAAGGAAAGCAAATATGTTTGACACACGAATTATTAAAAAAAAAAGTAAATGGATGTAATTAATTAAAATTAAACTAATTAAAGGACACTAATGATTAAAATGCTAGGTTAAGAAAGTACAAATTATACACATTATGTAGTATTAATATCAAACTTTAACGTATGCTGTCATTATGTAAATTTACGGTATTTTTTTTGATATTTTTTTGTTGTTTCAAGTTTTTTTCCTTTTTTTTTGTTGATAAATTTCATTGATATAATATTTAAGGTTAAATTTTGAATTCATAGATTTATTCGTCATTCGTCACTTATATTTTATTTTGTTTTCAGATCTATCAAAAAAAAAAAAAAAAAAAAAAAAAAAAATGTTATTATTGGAATAGTCTTATCAGTATGTTACGATATTTACTTCCTTTTTTCAATCGATTTTTGAACTCTCACGTATGTTCACATTATTTAGCTCATTTCTCATGCATTTTTTAAGTGAACTAATAAAAAAAATCAGTAAAAAAGTTACTAAAGAAAATTAATTACAAAACATAATTGCTTATTGTATTATTACTTTATACTATTTAAAAAAAGAGGAATGGCAGGAAAATAAGATGGGCGATATTTAACTGTGATAAGGAAAATGAAATATCAATTGAGAATGGAATAGTTTGAAATCGTTTTTGAAATTGTTGAGACGAGATATGGTGTTTTGATTAGCATCATACGCGTATTTTGTTTTTTAAATATGCTAAAGATTTAATTAAGTCTACCAGTCGTCTTAAATATTATTGGTATGATTTTGGATTAGTTATAAAATATAAAATCGTATAATTTTCATTTTATAGAAACTTCATTTTTTTTTTTTTTTGAAATGTTTAGTTAACTCTTTATTACTGTTTAAATCCTGAATTCCTGAATCTAACATATCTTTATCAATTATTTCGAAAAAAAAAAAATGCAAGCAATTACGTGAAACTGAAAAATGATTTTTTTAAATAAATCATACAAAAATTATTAGTAAGTTTAAATAAGTTTTTGAGCTGATTAAATAGTTGGAAATTAATTTATAGTAATTTATTAATCATCATTATCAAACTATTAGCTATGCTTAAACTAGGAAACTCGAATATAATTAGATTTATTGGAAATACTTAACAAATTCTAATCGAAATAGTTCATTTTTCAGATTAAATAGACATATCTAATAATAACAGATTAAATAGACATATCTAAAAATTAAATAGACATATCTAATAAATTTTAATTTCATTCCTTTAGATAAAAAAATTTTTAATTCTAGTGTTATTACTGTTTATAACCTTTATTTCATTTCACTTATATACTTTATTTGATATTTATTACTTTAACAGAGCTTATCATCACATTTGAAGCATTTTCGCTGCGTTTCGGTGCACTGTTGGTTGTTGCTATATGTAATAACATATGCGCTTGGCGGTGGTCTCATTTTTTATGAATTGGAATATGAAGCATCAAAATCCCATTGGAATGAACAAATTGATAAAAAAAATTTATGCATTGTAAAAGCAAGTTTATATCTTATCATACTTTTAATTATTTATAAAAAATGGATTAACTATGGTACTGTGAAATATTAAATAAGTTGTATTACATGATAAATAATTAAATAAATAATTAATTAACATTATAATTAGCTTTTTGGTACTCTAATTGGTTTGCTACTAAAAATATAGAGTAATAATTAATATGCATAATATATATGTTACAATAGCTGTAAAGTAAAAATGATGAAATATCTAATAAATGTTAATAATTCAATGAGTTATATATTAATAAATTTTTCTATAATTATTTTTTGTTAAGTGGAAAAATAACGGTGAAAATTCCTTATACTTCTTTATCCTACCAAAAATTTTTCATGTTACAAAAAATTACCACTTTAAATGTAATGATTTCTTTTTGGAAGAAAGTTCAAATATTTTAATTAAATCATTATACTAATAAATAAATTATGAATTTTATTCTTTTTGTATAAGAAATTAATCATTTCACTAAAAGATAAAATTTTTTTCTTAATGAAAAGAATAAATAGGTAAGAAAATTGGTATTTTTTCAATCATATTTGTCATTTTTAGATTTTACGGAAACTAAAAAATTATTCGGATGAAACAGTGAAACATCTTGAACGTTGCTGGAAAGCTGATATTGATAAGACGAAAGAATGGAATTACATTACATCAACTCTCTACGGATTTGGCATCATCACAACATTGGGTTGTCGATCTGCCTGATTTTACTTTTTAAATTTATTTCTCATCAAGGAAGAAAAGAGTAAATTAAACATAAGCTATTAAATTTTTCACTTCATTTTTTTATAAGTTTTATTTTTTATATATTCTTTACATCAAACATTGCTACTATTACTTTTAGGTATTATTTCAAAAAGAAAATGAAAATTCTTTATTGATATAAATTTACATCCTTTGCTATTGTACCCTTCTAATTTTTTTTCAAATATTTGCTAACTTTTTTATTTTAAATTTTTCTGGAAACTATTCCAATAAACAGGGGAAGAAAACAGAAATGTTAAAATTTAACGATTTATATTATGTCTTGTAAAATAGTTGAAAAATTTTTTTCGAAATGAAAATTAAAAGAGTTAAACAATAAACTTTAGAAGAAGAGATAAAAAGTATTTATTTATCTATTATGAAGTTTTGAATTCCAAAGTCGTAATTTTGAACTTAATTCATCAAAAGGACTGCAAATAAATGGGATTTGAATTTTACAATTAAATGATTTATTAAACTAATAGCATATATTTTCCAAAAGGCTTGTGAGCTTTCTACTAAAATTTGAAGGTTGAAAATTTTACAAAACTCCCGGGAGTTAAACAGCAGTTTTAAATTTTGCTTATTTGTAAAATGGTACAATACAAATACAACATTTTATGATTCTAAAATTTAGCTCAAGTAAAAAATTTTTAATATATGTCTCGAAAACATTAAACAAACTTGATAACTAAGCATTTACAAATACAAATAAGTCATCTCATTTCTACCTTCTTTTGATCTATCATTCTTGATTCTCTTTCTCTTTAATCTCTTTCTTCCTTACTTCTAGCAGATATCTTATGAATGCTGTCCACTTTTTTAGGGAAAATTTTTTTCGAAGGAATTAAAAAATAGTTTATCTCAAAAATTTCAAAAGTAAATGACAAACATTTTGCAGGTTATAATCATGTCGCACCCTCAACAATAGCTGGTCGATTATTTTCCATAATTTACGGTGTACTTGGTATACCAGTAACAATGATTGCAATTACAGTTTCGGGTCGCCATTTAAATACTCTTATTGCAAGCTGGCGACGAAAGGTTATTTGTACTTGTTATAATTTCTAATTTAAGATGTTTGGTATATTGCAAGAGTATATATATATATCAGAATTCTTTAGCAGCAGAGTATGTATTATGCATCAGGATCTTTAACAGTTGTCATTATGTCCTACAGAATCCTTTCAATCATAATAATCATGTTGCTCTACAGAATCCTTCCAGTTATGGTGTTCCTACAGATATGAAATTATTGTTATATCATTGAACAGAAAATATCTCTCTGATTCACTTCTCCACTGATAACACCATGAGTTTAGGCTAAATTTGTAAAAGATCTAATTATGAAGAATTTTTACTTAGTAATGTATTATAAAAAATAGGCGTCAAAATTTTTAAAAAATACAACCTATAAAGGAACAATTAACAGCAGATATTACTCAAAAAAAAGTTATGATAAGAATAACTGAAATAATTTTTTATTGATGTGAACAATTAAAATCAATCGATATTTTTTTATTAATATGAAAAAAAAAAAAAAAAACAACTCCGATATTTTAAAAATTTATTTCAAAATTAAAGATTTGAACACCAGAAAACTTCTTTGATTACTAAAAGAAAGAAAACAATAAATTATTTAAGTTGGAAACTTTTCAAGTACGAAATTGGAATAGTGAAGTAAACTTGGAAAATGATAAAGAACGGGAAAAAGAAAAAAACGAAGAGACATCGTCCGGTTATATGACAATTATAATTATCGGCTCCTTTTTAACTTATGTATTATTCGGTGGCTTGTTATTACCTCTTTTAAATGGCAAGGTTATATTAAGTTTTGTTTTCTAGAGTTTTGATTATTATTTTAAAAATGAAAGCTTAATATGAAAATGAATTATCGTCTCACTGATTTTAAAAATATTGGATAATCTCAATTATGTAAATAACTGACTTGCTTGTAAAACTATTAGAGGAAGTAATGAAGTATGAAACTGATAGCTATAATTTCTTCAGGTATTTAATTCTTATTAAAAAGAAATTTAAGATGGAACTGATAACATCCATTTGACAAAATTATTCATTTTTCCTTTCCCTTTTTAGATTGATTTTATCAACGGTTTATATTATAATTTTCTTTGCTTAGCAGCAATTGATTTCGGTCAACTTATACCTGAAAGGTAAGCCATTTTATAAAAGATGCAAAAAAACTGTGCAAATATAAGTTTGAAATCAACTTCATTAGTTTCAAAGTCAACATTAATTGCATTTGTATTAGATGATTGCTCGCGAAAAAATATCGGGTGATATTATTATTTATTAAATCATAAATTTTTTTTCCTGTTATTTTCAGTGCATTATGAAAAATAAAGAAGAATGAAGGATTGAATAATAAAGTTAATCATAACTGTCGTAGAAGGAACATGACTTTTTTTTGTTTAAAATTTTTGAAAATGTTAACACATATGATTAAAATTGACAGGAAAAAAGGGTGGCAAAAATATTTCTAGGCAACATTTTTATATAATTTGAGAAATTATTCCTAAAATTATTTTTATATTTAACTAAATATTTGACTAAGTTATATTTTTTTTTTTTTAAATCAAAAAAATTCAAAATGTATTTTTCAGAATTGCACTTTTACCAATAACATTTGTATATGTGTGCGTTGGACTTGCTCTAGCAACTATTGCAATTGGTTAGTTTTATTTAAATAAAACATCGTTTGATTTTGTGAACGAAAGTTTATGAAATGATCCATTATATGTTTGCTGCATAAACGTGAGTGATTGAAAAGTGCACTGCAAGATTTTTAAATACTATTGCAAAAAAAAAATATTTCCCGAAACATCTATGTGAGTCTCAAAGATGATGGTAGAGTAAAAATGGTCCTTGGCCATTTTTTTTGATTAGTGGTCTGTGTCCTAGTCTAAAAGATTACTTTAGGGAGTTTTTGCAGTTTTTCTCTGTGATACTTTGGTTTCAGCAATCTGGTGGCCAACTGACCATAGAGCACAATATTAGATAGATTGTGATAATTTCTCAAATGTACCTGTTTTCTTGGTAATATATCCTCAATACTTTGAAAGCATTGATTAGGTGATCAATCCAGTGGATGCTTGGGATAATATGGAGGATACTTGAGTGGTGACAATTAGGTGACCCATGATTTAGATTCATAGAGGAGAATAAAAAACACAATGGTCATTTAGACGTTACTCTTAGTATTTTTCTTCAGGTGTTTACTGTTCATAGTTTTTTTTTTTTTAGCCTACTGAATCCTTTGCTAATTTGCTGATGTCTGTCTTGTTGTCAGGTTTGATGCCCACTGACATAATACTTAGATTGAGCCTATGTACAGAATAATAATCTATTTGTGATAGAGAGTAGTAAATGACTTTAGTCTTTGTCAAACTAACTTTCAATTTAGAAAGCTCTGAAGCTTCTGCAAAGCAGGAGTTGCACAAATGCTTCTGCATGGACAACAAAAACGGTTCAAAGCAAAAAAAAAAAAACAATTCTTGCGTAAAATGCTTCAGAGTTTTGCTGTCAACTTTCAGTGGCCTGAAATTAAATAGGTCTCCATCTTCACCACTCGTCGATACCCTCTGAAATATCGTACTAAAGGAAATTGTGAACAGAATCGGTGATACAAACACTGATTATTAAGAAGGACTCAAAGTGTGTACTGCTGTATTTCAATTGACCAAGCTGCTTCTGATGCAAACGTGATGATCATTTTGAGAAACTTTCTCAAAATATGAGGTCAAACAAATGTAACATAATATTTTTTCTCATATTTTTAAGAGTTTGTCTAAGAATGCTGTGTGTGTGTGATAACTTGTACATAGCTTTGAAATCATTTCAACTTTCAGATAGAAATATTTTTGCGATACTGGGTATTAATATATTTGAAGTATTCTTAAAGGAATTTTATCGACAGTAGGCAGAAGAACAATACTTTGGTAGTTTGATCAGTCGGAATTTTCTTTTTTCTTCTTGTATTAATTTCACAGAGATAGAAGCTTGTGTTGTTCCCAGTAACTTGTAATAATTTCTTGAATTTAGCTTAGAATATTAGACCTTTATGTTAGGTCTTTACTATATTTCATCCGCTGCATAAGTTTGATAGTTTCTTAAACAATTTTGGACTACGATCAGTTCGCTTTTAATTAATTGTTGAATGATGTGTTAAATTTGAACTCTACGACTGGCATTGGATTAAAGATTGAAAGTACTCAGATCATCATTTAAAATGGTGGTTTTATTTGTGGGAATGGAAAAGGTCATTTCAGCTGAGTAAGGGTTTTCAGACATGGCTTTTGCTCTCCTATTTTCACTATAGTTACTGAATCTTCTGTGCTAGGTAGTTTCATCAGTTATTCTTGATGCCTTGAAGTCACTGCTACTGCTTTTAAGACAAAACAGAATGGCTAAGGGAGCAAACAGTTCTTCTTTGACGACAGTTCTTTCAAGTTGTTTTCAATCAACTAATTTTTGGTACTTTTCGAAAAAAAAAAAGGAATTTACAGAGGCTATTTTTGATGTGTTCACAGATCGGTATGGTTGATTTGCATGTCGTGAAAATAGTCTAAATTGTAGAGCCGAATAAGAAATGTTTTGTAGAAAAAGCAACTGATATAAAGATTATTGTCGATCGAAGTTATTGGACAATATTGGAAAGTTTCAGGAAGCAGTAAATCCAGAAAAGATTGTTATCCGGAAAACCTAATGCAGACAAAGGGTGTAACTCTTTATATAATAAGCATTAATTTATAATATGAACAATGAGATGTGAGTAATGACTTAACAAACTGCAAAAGGGGTTCAACTAAATGATGAACTGTTACTGTTAGCCCTGTCAATATTTAAATATAATTTACAGTTAGTAAGGAACCGACAAACAACAACAAATGAGGTCAACTAAATAAGAGCCAATAATTGTAAACGATTTAATTGGAGACAAATTCCAACATATATTTTTTGTTAACAAACTGTAATAATGCAAATAAGCTCAGTTATAATTAAAAAATGAATATTGGATAAATGTTTTCAATGTGAGATTGAAATATTTATCTAAGGAATGTATAAATAAGACAATTTATAATTCTTTGAATTTAATGTACTTTTATTTCCATGCATTTGGTTTTTTCGACACTTCAAGTTTAGTCTGAATATTAAGCTGGAATTTCAGCGATTTTTGATTTTGTTTTTAGGCTGTCTTTCTGTTGGTAAATAAATCATAAATATTGCTCTGAATAGCTAGTAACTTCACAATGTCGTATAACTTCCTTGAACATGACAAGAGGTCAACAAAGGACCTTCAAATAAATTTGAATTTTTAAAATAAAAAGTAATGAAGCGGTTTGTTTGGTTTGGTATCATATCATTGCAATTAATAATAAAGACAATTGATAAGATGTAAAAGAAGCATTATTCCATTTAGCTATTTTAATATTTTAATCATAAAATTAACAGTTAATGTCTGAGCACGCTATTAATATGAGCTTATTGTTTGTCATAATTCATTAAAGTTGACAATAGCTCTATTGCCTATATCGTACAATCTCATATTGCTACAGTAATAAGAAATATTTGAACAATATGAATTTTAATTATGCCAAGTAGTCATTATTTTTCACTAAATGTTCACTAATTCTATTTTGCTTTATAGTTGTTATTGTTTATTCATTTCATCATTGTTTTGAAAATGAATTAAATATATTGATGCTTAACTTCAGGAACAGTACACAATGGCTTATAACAAGGTGCATATTAGAGTGAGTAAAGAGAGCTATCACTTTTGAAGGATCTTTGCTCTACATTATCACTCTTGGATAATCTTTGCCCTACTATATTGTAATTAGAATTTTATAACAAAGAAAATTAATTGAGCAAATAGCTTATATTAATCTTTGTGCAATCGAATTATAATATGTTTAGCTGTCAGACTGAAAGATATTAGCAATAAAATTGTAAGCAATTGATAACATATTAAACAATGGCACATTTATATTCGCTGTTAATAAATTGTAACATTCTAAACAATCATAACAGCTTAGCTACAATTGAACGATAAATGTTGAATAAGTGATTTCTCATTTGAGATATAAATTTGAAATAGTTTTATATTTTCTAATGAATATTTTATGGATTTATTACAAAATTATTTCGGCATAGCATAAAAATTAATGATTTTTTAAAAACAAAAAAAAAAAAAAAATGGATAAAAAACTAAAAGTTTTGATTAATGTTTGTGTTTTTCTCCTTTTTTTGACTACTAGTTTTATTTTTTAGCCACAATAAAATTTCAATGAAATTTTAGTAAAATAATGTGTTTGTTCGATTCATTCAGATGATGGTACAAAATATGCCAGAAAATTGCAATATTTTGGCCAAAGGATTAAAAATGTTGCAGCAACAAAAATTTGGTTCGGTAGTAAAACGTCCGTTTTGTAAAAGATCCTCTATTTTTTTTTCCTATTATAATAGAAAAAAAGGTGAAAAAAAGGCAAATTAATTGGTATATTTTATAGCATAAAAAATCTTACATTTAATAAAAATATCATTATTATCTAATTTATTCATTTCCATATTCTATTTTATTTTTTCGATAATTAGAAGCAAACTGTTTATGGCACAAATACAATTATAATTTCTACACCCGATTATAATTCCAGCCAGAAGTTATTTGTTTGTGATATTACTCATATATGTAAATTTTATGATGATGAATAATTCCAATTGATCAAGTAATTAAAATTTTGAGGGTAATCAAATAATTTAAAGTTTGAGGGTACAAGAAGTACTGCATGCAGTTGGTAGCAAATGTGGTATAGAACCGTCAGTTATTGATGAAATTGATTTAGATAATCTTATCGAGGAAACGATTGCACAGAATGTTAGTTAAACTTTAACAGTTTTCTCTTTTTGATAAGAGAAAAATTCAAATTTTTCTTTTTCAAAAAAGATTATTATATATTCAAATGTGTTCCAATAATTTATAGGAAGGTAAACTACCATCTCCATTCATTGATGAAGAAAATCCATTGTCACCATCATCAACGACGATCAAATCACCGTCATCAATAGAAGAACTTTTTAAAATGTATTTTGTTTCATTGCATATTTAAAATACATTTTATGCTTCAATGCATAGAGTAAAACAATTTAGCGTAGCTAGCAATATTGGCTTAATACTGGCATAAATGTAAAGTTTAAGTAAGACTATTAAGTAAGTTTAAAATGATGCCTACCAACATAAAATGTTAAAATTATCATCATTAACTTCAATTTACTTTCATGCAATGCATATAATCAAAAAAGTAACTGAAATTGTAATTATAATTGAAAAATTTTTCAAAAAAAAAAAAAATTCACATTATGTTATCTTGCAAACAATTTTGAATGACAATTTTACAATAAAATAATTGTATTAAATTAGGACAGTTTCTTAAGTAAGAAAATAAATTATGCAAAAATAAAATTCGATTAAAATGGATGCTAAATTAGTTTAATTACCTTGTTAATTATTATTTAATCATTAAGTTTGTTTTATTAAGTATCATTCCACTACTTTAAAATACAACATTATTTATTAGAATTAGGATTAGGATTAACAAAAATTTTTTTCATTAATTGCCATTATAAGAAAAAATTTCCTTTTTGTTGTTTTTTTTTTTTTTTTCAACATGAAAAAAGTTTTTACACTTTACACATATTTTCATTACATACAACAACTCTAATTAAAAAATTCATCACATTATGTTATCTTGCAAACAAATGATTTTTGCTTTTAAATTAATTTGAAAGAACCAAAAAAAGCAAAAAAATTTAATTTTAAAAAAATGACAAAGCTAGTAAATATTGATATATTTATCAATGATAATCATTCCCTTGCAATGTCTCTTTTTTTTTAATAAACAAATATTACTGTAAAATTTATGAAGCGACTTTTTTCTCCTTTTTTTTTGATAGAAAAATGAAACATTTCTGCTTAACCAATAGCAATAGTAAATGTCAAATATCCCATTCTTTTCTCTTTTTTTTCTTTTTAATTTAAATTATAAATAATTCTTAAAAAAAATTTCTTTTCGTATGATAAAGTATTTGATGTAATAAAAAAAACCTTTTTGGAAAGAAAAAAAATTGCATTTTAATATTTTCTTACAGTTGTTATTTTATTATTATAATCTTTTCCTCAAAAAAAAAAAGAAAAAGAAAATAGAATTAATATGAGTTTTGTAGTTTTACAAAAGTTTGTTAGGAAGAATTTTATTTACTGAAATATTAATTAACTTTCTCGAAAAATTCATATATAATCGCAGCGAATGGATACATAGATTTCTTGTTTTGTATAAAGTTATATAATCTAAATGTGCAAGTGTGAAATTAAATCATTTACTTTATGATTATTGAATGATTATAAATAATCATTTAATATTTATTTATTAGGAATCAATTTTTTGCTATGGAAGATACGATCTCGACGATATCATCAGAAGTTCAAGCATTTGACAGTGTAATAATTACAACTTGAAAGCTTTCAGTTTGAATGTTTTTTTTTTACAAATTCTTACTTTTTTATTAGTGAAGATTTGACGCAGAAATTGAATTAGTAGTCATAACTAGTTAATATACATTCTAAATTAAGTTTTATGGCTTCGAAAAAAAATTAAAATTAGTAAATATAATAAAAAATTAGGATGAAATATTAAAAATACATAAAATTTTAAATTTGAAAGCCATATTTATTTAGTGATGCAAAAATTAATTTTCGAATCAAATTCCTATTCATCCATTAATTAATAAAATTTTAATTGCTATTAGTCTTGTTTGAGTTATGATGGGAATTCATAATTAACAATTATTTACAATCTTTTAGTTATCAGCGAGTGAATGATAACTTCATGATTAATAAAAAGGTTTTGATATCAAGACAGATAAATTTTTTTTTTTTTTTTGAATAATTATATTTTTAACAATAAGTCCTTAAAAAATTTTTTTAGAAAATAAGAAGAAAACAAAATATATTATTTGCATTATTGCAGCAAAATGATGAAAAAACAGTTGCAACTGAAATCATTCAATACGATGAAATTAGCGAAGCGACTAATTTTGTGCAAATTGAAGTATGAAAAATTGATATTTTTTTTATGAATTTTATCAATTTTACTACTTTATCATTGGCAATATTACATAAATTTAATCTTATATTATTACTATTTTCTTTCTTTCTTTAGTTTTTTTTTTAAAAATAACTTTCTTTTGCATTTATAATTATTTATATTAAACAGACAATGGCACTACTTGAAATAATGAATGAACCATCGAAGTATGTGGCAGTAGTGGAAACTGTAAATTCTATTAAAGATAGTAAAGCAACTACGAAAGAAATTAAAAGTTTGTGACTTTAATTAATTAATGAAAAAAACAGAAACAAAGATAAACAAAATTTTATTTTTCGAATATTTTTATTATAAAACAATTTGTGTGTACTTTTTTTTGTTTTTCTTTAAATCTAAATTTTGTAAATAGTTTAATGTTAAAGTTTAAGTGACTTATATTAAAATTTTTGAACATATTATTTAATAATTAACTGATTTAATAATTTTATGATTACTTTTAATTTGCTTTTTAATTTTTGACTAATTATTAACAATAAAATTTAGTGTTGCGAAAATTTAAAGAAAGGAAGGAATTGTATGCCCGTGATCCTCAAAATCTTCATAAAGTATATGAAAAGGAATGGAAACGAATTGAAAATTTAATAACAGATCGTCGACGTAAGACTTCATTACAGCATGGTAGTACTACTGCAACACAATTATCATCTAAAAAATTGCAATCATTTAATTCTCGAGAAAACTCTCGTTCAAGGAGTAATTTAGAAAACAAAAAAAATTGATTATTGATTATATTAACAATAATTCAAATGATAAGTGAGTGTTTGCTTGCTTAATAATATTAATAGAAGCAAATAAATAAATAATAATTGGTAATTATAGTTAATAATTAATAATATTAATTTCAAAGACTAGGGAATATTATAATTAAAACAGTTTAAAAAAGGATAAGGATAATTGATTTTGTTTACATTAAATTAAGTGAAATTTATAAAATATTAACCAAAATTTAAATTACAAAGTGCAAAAAAGAAAAGATTTTTTTCATTTCAGCAAATATTTTTTTTTGTAATTTAAAACCCTATTAATTGAAATATTTTTCATCTTTTAAAAATTACAACTAATTTGCAATATAAAATTGTTATTTATAATATACATGTATGCGTGTATATAATTTAAAATTTAATATATATGTACATAATTTAAATTTTAATATAAAATGCTAAAAATGATAAAATATTAAGCTAATGACTGAATATGCAAAGAATATAAAATGAAATTTGTTACAATCAATCATTTTTCTTTTTTTGTTTGTCCGTTTGCTTTTTTTAGTAGTAATTTTATAATGATTAATAATTTCATGATAGTTAGCAAATTTAAATTATTCTGATTTTTTTTCTTTTTTTTGTACATTATTCTCGCATTGCCATATCATTATACTTTAAATTACTTCAGATTTTGAGTAAATTAGGAAGTCTTTAAGCAAAATGTTTCATAAACAAATTAAAAAGTTTTTTTTAATTTATTTTGCAAAGTGTCATTGTAATTTGTGCAACTTGAAACATTATTTGATTCAGGAAATCGAAAGAAATTAGAAAGGCTGTTATTTGAGATTTTGCTTGTGGGAGGGAAAAAAAGAAATACAAAGGGTATTTAAGACAAAAAAAGTTGAATATCATATTTCGTTATTTTTGATGAAAACGAAATATGAAAGTTATTTTTTCGAAAATATTAAAAATTTGGAAGAATCGTAAAAGAGACCAATTTAAATAAATCAAAAATTTGATGACTAAAATAAGGAAACTTGTAACTATTTATCTTAAAATCAAAGTATTTTTCATTTAATTGTTTTAGTAATATATAATTGTAACCAAAATTTTTAATCGTTTTTGGTTTTTTTTTTTTTTAATTGTTTAGATTAATTTTTATTTTGATTATCATTTGCATGCATACATATTTGCTTGATATTTGATAATAATTGGAAAATTCTATTGTATATTTCTTTAATAATAAATTTCAGTACTTTTTTTTTCAATTTATAGAGCAAACCGACAGTTTAAGTAATTGGATTTGTATTTGAATTCAAGTAATTCTTTTATTAAATAGCTTCTTTCTTTTTGTTGTTGATGCCATTGTTGTTTTAGAATGAATTCAATCTTATCAATAATTTGAATTGCATTTAAATTGAAATAATTATTGAATGATATGTGAAATTGAATTGAAAATATAACATAAGCATATGAATCTCATGGAGGTATCGCTGAATGAATGAAGTAAAATATTCAAATATTTTGATCATAAATGAAATGCCTAGCATTGCTAAGCTTTTAAATATTTTATTTAAATTTTTATCCTATATTTCACTAGTTATATTTATTACTATAATAAATATTTCTGCAATAAATATTCCATTAATCATTGTTCACTTTTTTTCGAACAGATAATGGTAATCTTAAAGTGTTTTTGTTAGTTATGGTAATTTATTTAATAAAATAGAAACAGTTTAATCTTAGTTTTAAACAGCTGCAGTTAAAAAACGAATTTTTGAGTAATAATAATGATTTGGCAATTATAATAACAGGAAAAAATTGAAAATGGTTATAAGAAAGCAATAGGAACAGAAAAAAAATGGGAAAATATCATGTCATTATTAATGATAAAGGATGAATAAAGTTTTGGAAATGAAGAAAAAAAAAAACTAAGCAGTATATTCTTTAAATTATTACTTGAAAATTAATTACATCATATTTTAATTATTATTTTAAATAATTAAAGAACATTTATGAAGCTAATTTTCTCTCTTTCTACAAAATTGTCAATAATAAAAATAAACGAAGGGTGAAAAAGAGATTTTGAAAAATAATTTTTCTTTTTTTCTATTTCTTACCATAACAAACAAAAATAAGGTGAAAAAAATGATAATGTTACGAAAAATATTGCAGCAAAATATTTGATAATGACAAAACGAATCAATAAAATTATTTATAAAAGCAGTGAATATGAAATTTGACTGAAAATGTTAATTTATCTTGATATTAAAGCAGCAATAATCTTAAATAAAAAAATAAAATTAGGTATTTAGCACATTATTTTATCATTTCATTGTTTTCCTCTCTTTTTTTTTTCGATATTTCAACTGGAAAAAAAAACTGTGGTCAGAAAAATTTTCAATATTAAAAATATAAATTAAAAAAATATTATATCTATATGAAAGAAATAAACAGCGATTTTTATATCTATTCATCACGTAAATCACGTAGCATTTACGTAACGAATTGGTGATTAGGAAACAGATTACGTCAAAACGAAGAAATTTTATTGAAAATTTTAATGTGATAGTAATGTCATACTAATGAAATGAGCTTTACTTCTAATTTGCTTTACTCTAATTGCTTTATCAAAGTGTAAACTGGAATCTTTTTTCTGTTACTAATTGCATTCAAATTTGATATCTTTTTGGTTATTAAATCCTGAAAAGAGTTTAATAAAGTGACAAATTATAAATGTAAGTGAGAAATTTTTGATGAGTAATTGATAAAAGAATTATCGATTAATGCGATTAGTTATAAAAATATCTCAAAAGATTAAATAAATTTCATTGACAGACAATGCGAACATGGAAATACGCAAGTAGAACTGATAATTTAAATTTTTAAATTGAGTTATTTGATAAATTTAAAAATCGAATTTAAAGGTAACCGAATTGTATTGAATCTGTAATTAACTATGTAGAGGGATTATCATAACTTAGTTCACAATTCAATCTGAATGCAATCAGTCGTTAATAAATTTGGTTGTTTTGAAATAATTAATCAACTTCAATAGCTATAATAAATGCTAGAGTCAAGCTAGAAATTAGAAAATTTAAAAATTAGTTATCAATTAAAGTATTTTGAAATTGAATGCAAAATAATTAATGTTCATCTATTTTATTGTTTCTTCTTGTACAGTTCAAGAGTTTTATGCAAATTATAATCGAATGAAAAAAAATCATTCCTAAAACTCAGGAAGTTTAATAAAGTTTAAAAATCCATTTTTAGCAATTTAAAAGCCTTGAAAATACATAAATATTGTATGTAATGTTTATTCTAAAATTATAAACAACAAAGTTAAATATGTTGGAAGTTTTAAAAAACTGCCACTTTAAGGTGCGTACATTTTTTGCTATTTCTGTTTATCCATTGGCATTTGAAAATAATTTTCAAAATTTTACTAAGATATTTTTTTGTAATTAACTAATTTTTATAAGTGATAACACTCCATAAATTTCTTAAATTCTATAGGTAATAATCTTAGCATATTTAAATTTTTTATAGAAATTATTTCAGACCCTATTAATAAATTTTTTAATATATAGAAATTTTTAATATTATGAAATTTTTATCAGCGATTAAAATCCAAATAATTCTGATAAGGAAAGCAATACTTGGAATTGTTATTGAGCGCTATTATTTTGGTACGAAAATATTTTTCAAATTAATGATTCATTTTTTGAATTAAAATATGTTTTATGTAACAGAAATTTAAACAAATTTTCTAAGGCCTAATTTTAATTAATTTATCTCTCATTATAATAGGTTTTCAACAGTTTTTTGCTTTATTTTATTTTCATTTATTTTGAACTATATATTATTGTCATAACAAAGTATAAACTTACTAATTAGTCGATTAAATTTCATTTTTGCTTAAAACAATCTTAACTTCTAATCAGAATGATATCGTTGAATTGAATTCAAGTTTCAACCAAATTAAATTTCATTCCATTTATATTTATCACTCACAGTTTTTTTTATCTTTTTCTGAAAGCAAATCAATCATACTATTGAATTGATTTCAGAAAATGTTTGAAAACAAATAAAATGTGATATTATCGATATGAAAATTTCATTTGATGATTAATTGCTAATGGAAAAAAGACGTTTAAATTCTTTTCCTTCTTGTTAAAATTAAAATACATTTTTAATGTGTAGAAAAATCGAAAATAAAAAAAAAAGAAAGATAAGGAAGAAAAAAACGAGAATTAAATAAAATTTCCATTTCATCAAACATGTTTACTTTGCATAGCAAAGTACAATTACTTTAATAATTTTTGCATAACTTTATGAGAATATTTGACGAAATGATTTCTTTTTTTAAAAAAAAAAGTAAAGAAAGAATACAGAAAACTGACAAAAGAAAAAAAATATTGCAAAAAAAAAATGAAGAAAAAACGTTGAAAAAAGAATGTTTCTTGAAATATTTAATTCTTATTATATATATTACTAAATAACAGTTGACAGTGATCTAAACATGTTTCATGTTTAACAAAGTGTCTTAAAAAAAATTTTTTTTTTTCACAGTTATTATTATGACAGATCCAATTCATTTTTTTTTTTAACCTTTGTCGCTCTTTCTTTTTGAAATAAATTTTAATACTGCGAATTTAATATTGTATATTGAAAATTTAGTATTATTGCATGTTTTAATTTATACTTATTTTTAGAATGCTTAAATATAAATGAAGTTTAGTTTAATTTATATTGCTAAGTTTCTTTTTGTAAAGATTTTAAAACTTCCAAGTAAAAAGAAATTGTTTGTTTGATTTTTTTAAATTAAATAATAAAAAATAAGTTATAAATTGATCAAAAACAAAAAAAAACAAGGAAGAATTGTTTTCATAAAATAAATTTAAGCTAATGAGTTTGTTAATAATTGAATTAATCAATTGATTATGCTTGATTGAAAGTTATATTAGAAACACTTTACAGCATAAAATTAAAAGTTAAACTATCAATTTATTCTCAATGTAATTAGCGACGTAACAGTTTCAAATTATTGCAGAATTACAATGATAAAAAATTATTTTTAAAGAAAAAACAAAATGAAATGAATACATTTTTGTTAGAAAAACATAATATAAAATTAATTAATAAAATTTTGATTTAAAAGCCACACAAATGACCTCCTAATATTAACTAGCTGTAAAGGTAAAAGTTTAATTCACAGCTATTCAAAAGATTTATAAATCAAAATTTGCGTTGACTCATACTTCAACCATTTAAATTGAATCACTTCAACTTAGCAGTAACATTTACGCTTACTTAGTTTCTGATTGCTTTTGAGCTGTAATTTATATAGTTTCTAATTTTGATTTGTTAACCGTAAAGTCTTACATTTATATAAACAAATTATGCAAGAAAAAAAACATTAAATTATTTTATGAGTAAAATTTACTTTTTTTTATTAGGCGGATTTATCACATTTAATTATTTGCTTATTGCTCACAATATTATTTGGAATGTTTGTAATGCTGCATGATTGTTGAAGAAGTCATTTTAAATTTGAAAAAAAAAAACGGAATAAAATTAACATAATTTAATTCTAACTTGAAATCAAATCAAAGAGGTTTGTCAAATTTAAATTCCAATTTAGGCATAGGCAATATGAAATTAATGAAGTTTATAAATTGAATATTTTCAAATTTATAATTGTTAATTTATGTAGGATTTTAACACATTTTGAATTGACTACTAACCGAAAATTACAAACGAAAAATTTTAATAAATCGAAACGTTTAAATTTGTATCCAGGTGTGTGTATGCTTTATTATAAAAAATGATATCAATTAAAAGGTAACAAAAATCTCATTAAAAAATTTCAAAAAATTTTATTGTCTTTTTCTTAACATACGTAATTTAAAAATTTTTTGTGCATTTTTTCTAAAATGCATCAAACCAATTGAAATAATAAAACAAATTTAATAACTATTAAATAAATGCATTTTTTCTGTGTTTTCTTTAAAATTATTGTCTTATTGTTTATTTTATTTGCATTTATTGTTATTTATTATTTGTTCGAATATGTTCAAATGAAAAACAATTTTTTTCTTTTGTACAGATAAACCTAAAATTTTAACTTAATATAAGTTGAATGCTTTCTTTTTAAGTGTTTATTGTATATACAAATTATCTATGAAAGAGTTTAAGTTAAGTGAAGTGAAATTAAATTTAACTCAGAATTTGGATTCATCATCCATCATTTTAAACTTTTTGATATTGTATCGTTTACAAGAACCAAGGAATCATTCAGCAATTTTTTGGG